AAGAATCTGTTAAACAAACCAACTTGTTTGACACTTTGTCAGAAGAAACTTAGATTTAGGCACATGCTAAATAATCTGACTAACCTTTTTACTGGAAATGTCTTAGTCCAATTTTCTAAAGGATGTGAAAAACCTTACTGATGAAGAAAATGGTGTTATGAAGAGTTTCTGTCAGGCAGTAGTCTTTAGTATTCTATGAATTTACTGATTTTTAGATGAGATCGAGTGTAAAAAGAACAGTCACTTTTGGTTAGGTTTGGGACAGGAAAGGAGGCGATATTTGACTTTTGGTTCTATGTCATAAACCTCTTGCGCGACTGAACCTTTGCAGTGCCCAGCACAGTGACAACCTTAAGGCTTCTTCAATGGCCATAGGGGGATGAAAAATCAATTCCCATCAAATCAAATCCAATTTCAAATCCAATTCTAAAACCTGGTGAGGAACTCGGGAAAGCTTTTCCTGCAATGCAGAATGAAAACTGAATGCTTTATACACTGGAAGATATACATGTGTAAGGTCTTAACTGACCAAGTGGGTCAGAGTTTTACAACAGTTTTGCTTCCACTGAGACTCGGGGATTTGCTGGAATGTTCAAGTAATTAGGACCAATTAACAGAATTTGAAATATAAAACTCATTGCTCTCATATCTCACATGATGAGCCCCCATTCAGAAATTTCAGAAGCATCGTGAAGCTTTATGGCAAAGGGAACTATAACACCTGCAGTTTCCTTGCAGAGGTTAGAAAAGAAATTTCTCTTTTAAGTTCTTTTTTTCTCTTTTAAGTCTTAATTGTCACTCATCACTACTACTGTGTGAAATTGTGTCCTAGTGACTGAAAATGCTCATGAGATCAAAAACTTAACTTATTCAAGTCCTTAAGTAATAAAACAGATTTACAGTATTACGTGAATGACACTGTAATTTAAGGTGCTCGTCAGCAATTCTGTTATCATTAATAACCATATCAAAAAAAATTAGAATTGCTTGCTATTCAGAATTTGCTATTAAATTGTACAGGAAATATTAATATGATGTTTATGCATTAATAAATGATGAGTCAGATGCATTTCCTATAGGAAATATTAACTTGTTTCTTTTTCAAACATACATTCTCATGGGCAATTTCAAACAGAATAAGGCTCTTCCTCTAAACAATTTATTTCAGTGAAAGTCTTTCTTTGTCCCAACAGAAAAAAAGTTGGTTTAACCATCCCTCATTAGCTTGCAGTCAACAAGACCTGTATATGCCCATTGAGAACACCTATGACAGAGGAAAACAAACCCAAAATGTAAAAGAGGCCCAGGACAGGAAATTAGCACTGAGAAAATGGGAAGAAAAGGAAGGAGGTACTTTGAAAAAAAATGCATAAAATTTGTTACCTGCTCTTAGTTCTGGTGTCTGTCCCATGAAAAATACAGGCATATTATTAAGCTTTTAAAATAATATCAATAACAAAAAAAATAATGCCAAGATAGAATTTGAGATTATTTTTGCTTTAGAGTTTTAGTTGCAGACATGCAGACAAGAATTTCCACAAAAATAATCACATAATTAGATAATAATCTGTATTTCCAACATAGTCTATGATTAAATGAGACTACAAAGGCTTTGATCCAGCATGAAAGTCATACTTTTCAATACATAACATTGTAGAAGAGCATTCTTTCTCCTTAGGCATTACATTTTTATCTACTACATTGATAGATTCTGGGCTTGTCTTCTTGAATTAAAAAACCTGTGAAAAAAAGAGAATTATAGTATGTGATCCACCCCTTATATCATCTACAGTATGTGGTCTGTCTTTAATAAATTTGTGCTTAGCTGCTGTCACTACCACTCTCAAAATTAATTTCTAGAAGGTTCCTCTACCTGTAACTGCTACAGATGATCGATGATAGCTATCACCAATAAGTAACAAAATCAGCCTTAGATTATAACAAGTAGATTTTTTTTTGCTCACACAAAAGAGAAAATAACTTGATTATTGTAAAGGTGATAGAAAGAGATTTGGCCAACAGCTGGAGAAAGGGAATGAAAGTTAAATCTCCTGGGTTCTAATCCCTCTCTTTTTCTGATTATTTTTGGACAAATTTTGTAGGAATGGACCAGAAAAGGAAACAGCATCTGCATTGTCATGCTTAAAATGCTCTACTGCCTTTAGCTCTGAGTTAAATGCTCCCTATGCACAACGCCTGAGGAATGTCTAAAAATGGTTAGCCAGCTGCACAAAAACGTAGATCATGGGTTTTCTCCACTGGCAGTCAGAAAGTAAAAGAAGCTCAGGGGAAAATGGGAGCTCAGCTCCCCGAGATGCAGAGTGCTGGCATCTGGGCTAGAGGGAGGTGCCGGGGACCCCAGCTTTCTCCTGGTGCTGGATACCCAAACTGGGTTCGCTTTTCCTGCACAATTGGTGCTGGAGTTTGGGCAAGCTGTGTTCTGCTCCCCTCCCGAAATTCCCCTCGGAAAAGGGGAGGCTCTGGGTTTCTGTTCCAGTGCCACATCAGGGAAAGAGCAGAAGCCCCCTCTCCCCAGCTGAATGTGCCAGGCGCTGGTTTGTGGTGGAGACCACCACCAGACAGACCCTGCTTGTGTTTTCTGTGAGGTGAGTGTGTGTCCCTGCTGGGCTGATCAGCAGGAAGAGTGAGGAAGATGCATCAAGGTTTTTGCTGGTGATTTAGACTCTGAACTTCTTGCCCTTTCAGGGCCTGTGTAATTGCAGGCATATCAAAAACTCCCCCTGGAAGTTTAGGTTTACAGAGAATATATTGACCAGGGCGAAGCAGCAGATGCAAGGGTGTTTGAAAGGCTTAAATTTTGTACCTGAATCCCTGCTGCAGCATTTAGCCCTAAATACCTCTTTTCCCAGGAATGCTCTTTGTTCAGTAACAGATCTTTCTGCTTTCCTGTCCCTTCTGATCCCGGTGATAATGTACCACATATGAAGTTTAAGAAGGATTATAATTTCTTTTTCAGGTATCCAGTGAACATTCCAGATTCAGCGTTTTTGTCAGCTTATACTGCTGGAATAAAAGATCGCTAACTAGAAAACCAGCCAAAACTAATACCTCTGCAAATGCCTCAGTGTTCAGGAAGCAAATTTACCTAATTGTTAGGTCCCAATTGTTCTAAGTGAGCCAATAATCAGAAATTAATAAACAACTAACTCATTCCTAGCAGAGACTAAATGTGGATCTAAACAAGAAAACCTAAAACGAAATGTTGTCATGGTGATATACAGGAGACTAAGCAAGCAGTGCAAAGCTCCTCTTCCTAGGAGACCTGAGAGACTAGTTCAAATTTTTATCTGTCATGGTTAATTTATCATTTCACTGAAACTGTTGTCAACATGCAAAGCATATAGAAGGCTTGTAACAGGTAGCTTTTGTTTTTCGAGGGCACAAACGGATTTTGTTTCCAAATCACAATTTCAGATTCAGCCTTACTTAGAGAGGAAAAAAAAATATTTGGGGGAGTTTTTGCTATTTTTAGCTTTTTACTATTTATAAGGGCAATTAAATATTGAGATTACTTCCTCTTAAGCATGTCATCATGAGGCCACATACTGTGGTGTGTTTGACATACTGATTTCTCCAAGAAAGGAAGCAAGGAAAGTAGACCCTTGCAAAATTTATGCATGCGCACTGTTAAATTAAAAAGCTGGTGGTCACAGAACAGAAAAGACTTATGTGTTGTCAGTCTTGGAGCTACTGCTTGTATGGAAGGGAAAATAAAGACTCACCATGAGCATGTGACTTAATACACGTCAGTTAATTAAGTATTGGTTTTAAAGTAATTCAAGCCTCCAAAATTCTTTATTTTCAGTGTTCCATGCACTAATTTCATTATTAAAGACAAGCCATTGGATATCAGTGTTTGTTGGGTTAAGCACTTGCTCTAGGTTCAAACGTCTCTGAATTAGGAGTATATGACTACTAACTGGTAAATTGTTGAGGTTCAATTACTTAATAAGTTAATTCCTCATCTCAGTAAATTCAAGAAAATATGGCAAATGCCAGGCTAAGCAGAACATCTGGTTATTTACATCTACGTCTCTTAAGAAGCAATGACAAGAGTTCAGAAAAATGGCTACAAATTAGTTCTATTCAATTAATTGGAGGTACACAAAAAATACATTTAAATAAATGAGTCACACTATCTTGATTTATGGCTTCCTTTTAAACTTAGACAGACTTTGCATGCTACAAGACTAAACCTAGGGAAGACATCACTGCTTTGATATAAATTGAGATGCCACAAGTAGTTCAGCACCACAGTAAGAACCTGGTTTGCTCACCTTTACAAACAGTCTAAAAAAAGCACAGTAATGACAGCGAAGTACAGACACTACTCCTGATTATTCTTTGCTCTCTTAAACCAGTGGGATGCTGCATGAGGGTGGGGAGCATCAAGCCCAGGCACGTGGAGCACCCTCTGGGAGGTAAAGTGAACAAAGTGGATCTGGGAACCTCGCTTTGCAAGAGATTCTCCACCTCTCTGTAATTATCTCCGTGGGAGATGGCTGTGGCCATTAGGCAGGCTGGAATCATGGGATGTGAGCGCTGAGTAGAAACAGGAAGGTCCTTAGAAGTTTCTGTCATAATACTTCACTTCAGAAATGTTGTTGTTAAACAAATAATGTTAGAAGGAAAATGTCCACTGTCAGGCTATGCAGGAACTCCCCTGGTATGGGGTTTAGGTGGCATTTCTGACAGAAGTGGAAGGTATTTTTGTTGGCTTTTCTAATATTTGATTTTATTTCTTACAGAAAATTATTACAGTTGTATTACCTGTGGCTTCCTATTATTTTTTTCTCTATTGAGCCTTTATTAGTTTTAAAGTTCATGAGTTATTAAATGTTTCTTTTATATAAATATAATTAAAAGGTATTACTGTATTTTTTCCCAGTGACAGCCATAGTTAACAACAACCTTTCTGTTTTACTTTGAAAGTTGTACAAATGCCTGGGGAAAAATAATCATTGCCTATTTATATTTACCCCTTTTATGTAGAAGAATACTGGCATGTCGGCGTCCATTTCCATTCTCGACGTAGCATGAATAATTCCCCAGGTCTGCCTCTTCCACAGAGTCAAGAATCAATGAGATGGAAACCTCCTGTTCCCCGAGATGTTCCTTGAGAACCCTGAGAAAAAAGCAACCATTGCTGCTATTCTGCTTGTATCATAGCGGAGCATTAGATAATCGTGACATAATAATGCTACTTACAATCCACAACTCTGGCTTCAAATTTGGCTATGGTTTGATGAAATCTTAATTAAATTGTATCATGCCCTTTTCTTCCTCACTTCTAATGAGGAGGTTTGGCTTTGTAAATGTTAATGAGAGCTTCAGTTAATTGTCTTCTTTAAGCAGGATGATATGCACACTGATAATATATTGTTGCACACTCTGATGGAGACCCTGATCAGTAGTATGTGAAGTCTTGAAATGTTAGAAGATTAAACAAGTGAAAACAGTTATTTTGGGGTTTAGGGTCACATTAGGTGTCTAGGCCAAACACACTATTTGTGCACTTTCCGAGGCTTTTCAACATGTCACTCAGAAAAAGTGTGTTCATGCCAGGGTCTGAAAAATTCTCTCTTGAATGTATTTTAAAATTTGGCTGTGTATTATAAATCAGTAGAAAGAACTGGCATACCAGATGCCACTTGTTCATACGGATGATAAATAAAAGACAAGACCTCCTGCATAAGACTCCACCTGTCTTTGCATTGCTTTCTTTACCTCTTAGCAAGCCCATCAGTGGTTTTAGAAACCCAGCAAAGCAAATGACAAACCGCTCTAGACTGCTCCCTCACATCACACCTGACAAAAGAAGTGGAAACCAGCCTTCCTGATCCTCCCTCCACGAAACAAGAAAGTTGTAAGGAGGTTCTTGTCACCTTTTTATCAGCCTTCAGAATGCCAAGTCTCTGGCTGAAGGGCTTAGGAAAAGCTTTAGATGTGCAATACAGCTGATCTGGTTGTCATGTGCCATTTAGTGTACTGGTCTTGAGCTTTACAGAATAAACTTGAAGTACACTGGGGTGAAATATGCTTCCATTTTGCTTATATCTGGGACATGGAGATGACCTTGAATGTCCACGTGGCCCTCTTGATATTGGTAAAGGAATTGTCTCTGTTACGTTGGTTACACTGAAGAAGTCCAAGGTTAAGCTGAAAATGAGTGTGACTTCGTGTCTTTTGATGAGATAATAAACTCCTATGTAAGAGGTGAAGTGTAAATAAGCTCATTTTGTTCTACTATAGCCAATCACTGTAGATAACACATCTGTGATTATTTAGCTTCCTTTATAACGCACCTTTAGATTTCCCTTCATTTCTGGGTTTATCCATGATACGCAGGCACAGTGATACACACATACAGAATTAGAAATGAAAAAGGAATCTCTTCAGATCCAAGTAGATACTTTATTGGGTAGGAGTTCGTACGCTATGTCAAGCATGTAATTCTCAATACAAAACCACTTTTTTCTTAATTTCCAAATGAGGCAGCATTTTCAGGAGCAGTAGAAGTACATGACGCGAATTGCCAGATCCTCTCTAAAACAAGTACTTCAGCAAATATAAGCAGCCCACATAACAGGATGCTTGGCTCTCACCGGCCAGATAACATCCCAGAAAACCCAGTTTTTTCCTTGAAGAAAAGAAGTCAAAACATTCCAAAAGAGAAGCCAGACTTCAGCATTTATTTAAGGCCCCATGTTTTAAAAGAATTCTTTTGAGCTGTTTTCCTTGATGTTTTGTTTTTTTTTTTTATTTCATCTTAGTAACTGTCTTAATGGTTCTTATTGTAGATTGCCACACTTTGAAAAAGTCACTATGCAAATTCCAGTCGGTTACACTACGGTACTTGTCAGGCAGCTATTCTGCTTTTGCAGCTCTCTAACATCAGATCTGGCTGAGGCATGCATTTTTCTGTTCTTTACTGGTGGAGTTGAAAAGGTAAAGAATGGATGTTGCAAAAACAGGGATCAGACCCAAAGTGTTCCTGAGTTAGTCTGTGATAGCAAGTATTATATTAACTATCAAAAAAGATATTGACTGAAAAAACAAAATGCTTTTTCTTTTACCTGATGTCACTTTCCCAGATTCGACTATCATCCAAATCTTCAATAAACTTCTCCCCTTTCATCCAGTAGATTAAAGGACTGACATCTCCACTATATCCAAAGAAAGCTCGGCAGGTTAGATTAGCAGAACTGCCTGTTACAATGAATGTAAGAAAATATGTTATTTCAAAATTTGTAAAAGAAGTTTCATCTTTGAATCAGTTGCTTTTGTTGATTTAAAAAAGAAGTGTATTTGTAGAGACCCTCAATTTCCAGCTGCTGTTGAAAAGTCCAGAAGTATCTACTTGTCTTGCAACTGTTGTTCAATATATTTTCTGAAAATAAATACAATAAAAATGAAATTAAATGTTACATAAGAACAGGATTCAATTTTGTATTCTTTCACCAAGTTTGCTATGTTTGGTAAAAAAATGAAAGACTATGTTTTTTCAAAAAGAGCTAACTTAACCAAAGATTTCCATGTTTTCTCTGAAAACAGGTAACAGTTAGGTAAAATAGCCATGCAATCATATCTGTGCTAGTTCAGCTTTGCAACGGTTTCTGCAAAGAGGCTGGTAGATTCCTGTAGGGTACAATTTCCAAGGGACAGCCAGTAGAAAGATGTGTGCTTATAGCTAAGTTATCTTTGCAGGAAAGCATTAAACACTGAAACTGAAAAAAGAAGACGAACTCATTCCGTACGTCGTGGGACACGTCTCACCGTATGAATGGGAATAACCATTAGGTACACGTAGCAAGGAGCAGAAATTCTATATACGTGCAGTGTTACTTATTTAATCATTATAATGAAAACGAAAAAATGTAATATGCCTTGACTTTAGTTTATTTTCATTGTGTAGCCTTACATTGTGTTAGTACCACTTGGCTTTGGGGTTTCAGCTAGAGCACATACAGGGATTGAAACAGTACCTCGCACGCTTTTTGTATGTTGGTAAGATGGGATAAAACTAGCTGTGTTGTGGACAGCCACATAGTTAAAGATCTCCCATTCACTGCTGTAAAGATGTTTGTCTCAAAATGCACCAACTCTTCTAAACTGCTATGTGCATTTCTTTAGTGGATAATTACACAGTGATTTAAAGAAGTGTTGGGATTTAAGGAATGTTTTTCCCCCCCTGAGGAGAGTATTTTCATGGAGTTTATATTACTGCTGAGATCAAACTCATATTTTATTTACATTTTCAATTTTTGATCTTAGGATTTTAAAGCTGACTGACCACAGCTCCTGGAAGAAAGATGCATTGTTAACACTAGTTCATTCTGTACCGACATGCCATGAGAATGGTCCATCTGGGTTCAATGAATTTTCTTAAAAATACACTGCTTTGGGTCAGGACGTGGTCCTTCTCAAACATATGACATTAATATTTGAGCATCTTATTTACTTTTTAGTATGGCAACAGATGCAGGATGCTGTATAATAAGAAGATTAATTATTAAATAAACATCTTATGTATCTGAAGTGATTTGTGGTTTTCTGTAAAAGCATCTGACTCTCCTACCTGGCTTGAACTCCCACTTCCATGACATAAAAGGTGCAGAATCAAATGTTTGTAATCAAAATGTGCAACATCAAGGCAAGTACCATCTATGTTGCTTTCACAAGCTGTTTAGAAACTGAGTTGCTTTTAGTCATTACATGAACTTTTGGTTGGTGCCACACCCTTTGCCAGCAATGACCGCTAAGGAGACAGGAGTATCCTAGAACTTGAAACTAGGATGGAGAGGAGGGTCTCATTAAAATTCAAAAGGTATGAAAGCAAATCTCTGACTAATGAGACATTTTGATAATCTCATCTCATTTAGAGCAAAGTTACCAAATGTAAGCTGAAGATTTTCAGCGAGAGAGCAAAACCTCTCTTTCTAAAGACAACCACAGCTCCTGTTTCCACAGCCCTGGGGAGCAATGGTCAGGACACCTACCTGGAAACCCACCTCCTCAGTCCAACACAGCTGAAGAGAGAAAGATTTTTGCAATCTTGAAGCCATTTGCAGGGAATGAGATGAGCATTGGGGCACCACTTAATGTGGGTCAAGTACATGAAAACCTGTAAACTTCCTGGTTGTGCCCACTACAACTTAACAGATGCAAATTCAGTTGCTTATAACGGTTATATAGCAGATATAAACTAACTTTTTTTTTTGGTTTTGCATCATAATTATGATACATGAACATGCGAAAATGAACATACAAAACCTTAAAGGATTATGAATGTCTTGGCCACAGTCACCCAATCTAGCACTTGTTCAGGGCTGTGAAACGCCTCGTAACCACAGCATTGGTGGACTCCGATCACTCTCGAAACAGAAGAAAGTACCTGCACATCTAAAGCAAAAACAGGCTCCTGTGATAATTGGATAACCCCTATGGCATTATCTACCAGTCTTAGAGGGAAGAGTGCTATCTAATGCATCACTGCCACTCCTTGGGCTTTTTCTGGAGCTTTCCCGCCAAGTCAAGGCCCAGTTGAAACTTTTTAGCTTTTAAGAGCTGGCGAGATCACAGCTGGAGGGACTGTAGCTTCTGGCCAACTTATCCATGATTTACAGAGATTAGGCACCACAGGTGCTGAACCATCAAAGCTCTCCAGGCTCCTGCAGCTAACAGGTACCCACTGAGAGCTGATTTTTTCACTGTGCAGGCCTCTAAGTCTTTTGCAGGTGAATATTAACACGCATAGGTTTGCTTTTTAAAAATAAACATTGTGTTAAGGGCAAAAAAAGTTAGAAAATAAGAGTTTGTAAGATTAAGGCTTTTTTCCTCATTAGATTCTTAAAGACATTTCCCCCTTAAATACAATATGTGAACATATTTTTAAACACAGGATCCAAAGTTTCCATTCAACATGAAATATTTATACCTGAGAAATAAATTAAGAAGGATGTAATGCCTCTTAGTAGTACTGTGTCGATTACAGTCGCTGAGCAAAGGCCATTAGTGTGCCGGGTGTTCAGCTATAAATTACCAATAATGTCTACCTTGACCAATCTTCACAATAAGCCAGTGGGAAGTTCATTAGCAGGTCATCAAGAAAGATTCAGTGACCAGCTAATGACCAACTGTGACCATTAATGAGGAGGTCTGTTACTCCAGACCTCACAGCTCTTTGCAGAGGGCAGTGGAGCTCACTTGGTGGAGCAGAGATGCTCACAGCTGCAGGCACATGTAAGTAATGGGCAAAGGCTGACTGAAGGGCATTATTATAAGTGGAGAGAGTATTTTGGGAGCACATCTTGATTTCTGCTCCAGAGCTGCCCTCATGTGAGTGAGTGTGTGCTTTAGGATGGGCTGTATTTTTCCCTAGAAGTGCACCTTTGAAGTGAACAGTCAGAGGATGCCGAGTTTGGCACAGAGCGGCTGCTCTGCATGGGCAGTCTGCTTTTAAAAAGTCTGCATATTTTTAGAAAGCATGCAAAATTTATGTAAATAAATAAAAAAGCTGCTTTGCTTCATGTTTAAGCTAATGTACAAAACAACCTGTCAGCCAATTAATAGAAATCACTCACAGTTAACCCTAAACCCTAAATCTCTCCGTGTGTTTTCTGTGCTGAGAAAAACTATAGAAGTGATTTGAAAACTGTAAAAGTTTGATGAATGGATATGTAATGCTTTCTATGCCATTAATTTAAATTTTCCTGTAAATGCTGGATTATTACAGTTTTATAGTCTATGTTTAAAGGAATTTAAATACACGTTTTAAATTAACTACTAGGGAAATACCTCTCTCTCTCTGTCCCCTTTGCTGTAAGATGTTGTAAATTCTTGAGACTGCTCTGTCTCAAGTTAGGTCCTGGGTAAACTGCTCTTTTTATAGACTCTGGAAAAGTCCAAAGGCATGAGATTAGAATTATTAAATGAATTATTAGTGTTAGGGTTTTTATTAACACTCCCCTCCAAAAAAACCCCAAAACACCCTCAAGAAAGGATAAAGAAAAATTACACTTTTGACTTCTCAGTAGACATCATTTACTGTGAAATAATGCAATAGACACGTAAGAGAACACCTAAAAAGTAAACTTCAACTGCATTTTTCTCCACTACCCTTATTTCTGAAGATGAATATGCTTTTACTGTATTAAGCTGATTTTTGTAAAAACTGGAATATATAGCACTACAGGTTCCTGCTGCTTGCTGTGATAAAGTTACACTGTCAACTCTAGCCAACTGGGTTCAAGCTAAATTAAACAAAAGCTCTTTGCCATCTAAACTGAGAACAATTACACAGTATGCTTTCAAGTAGAGCAGAATGCAAGGAGGGACCACAACAAAGTGTACTTCCTTGAAACCAGCAAATCCCTTCAGCAGAGCAACACACTGTTTTTGTGTCCATTTTCTCTAATTGGCAACATTTGGGGCACTTTGCAAACTACTGCTATGGGAGTCTATGTCCAGGAGAGGGCACTGTCTAACTTCTAAACGTTTAAAAAAAAACCCCAAAGTAAATTCCTAATGTATTATCTCTAATTAAAAACATCAGCCTGCTAAGAACCTGCTAGTTGTAATCAGCAAATAGTGAATGTTTTGTGGTTACTGAAATGTCGTCTTGTATGGGCAGTTTAAATTACACACGCACCGTTAGTCATACAAGTTAGCATACACCGTGATATCACCCGTTCTAGCCTTTGATTTGACAGATTTGTCTGTGAAAGACAACCATTTTTGTTGGAAGCAATGATAATTATCAGACATGTTCTTCAATCTCTTTTTAGAAGAGTCCTCAAAGATGTGTTATGGAAGGGAAGCGTTTGAGAGCCATGATCAGCATTTAGTAATATGGAGGGCCAAGAGAGTGGAAATGTTAAGTGTACTGAAATATGGGACTTTCTTTTACCGTACAATGCAAACCATTTATAAAACTAATGCACAGGCAATACCTACACACTTATAAGTATGCCATTTATGTGTAATGTTAACACTTCAAAATGAAATTACAAAAGGCCAAGGCAGACGCAATCAAAATCTCTCACACCATTCTTTCCATTCACGTTAGAGAAAAAGTACTGACAAAATATCAGTCTTCCAAGTGGAGAGATGTAAAAGCTGTTAAATTCCAAGGTGTGATGGATGGATAGGTGGCAATTCTCACAAAGTCAATGACCCACTTATTTTGCCAATGTCATCTGCCAAG